GAATGGACATGCACAGCAACAGAAACACAGTAAACATCAGCTTCAGAATCAAAGATCCTCAGAGAAACAGTTTGTTTCAGAGCCTCTGAAACTTCCTCTGTTATTATTCCTCCTCTGACTTTCTGCTGCACATGACTTTCAGGAGAAGTGTTGCATCACTGCTCGTGTCTTCACTGTGCTGCTCCTCATGGCAGTAACATGACAGTGTGTCACACGGGGACGTGCACGGGGACGTGCACAGACTGTTAGAAGACAACACACACGGCTGCTGTCAAACGTTCACTCAGGTCTGAAACTTCTCATCGCTGTTTATTATCTGAAACTTCTATCGTAGTATTTGTTAAATGTGAGACTCATTAAAACTCCTCCCACAAAGCAAATATGTTTTTCCTCTCCTCTGTAAAAACATTCAAACCTCAGTGTGACCTCCAGCAGCTCCCTCCTCTTCCTCCTCCTCCTCCTCCTCCTCTTCCTCCTCTTCCTCCTCCTCCTCCCTCCTCCTCCTCTTCCTCCTCCTCTTCCTCCTCCTCCTCCTCCTCCTCTTCCTCCTCCTGAAGCCTGAATGGTTTGTTAAGACCACAGGAAGAAGGAACAAACAGTGAGGCCTGAGTCATGTTAATGTTCAGCTTCTCAACACACGGAAACAGACATAAATTATTTATTCATCAAAGAATGAAGACAAGATATTTTTAATAAAAGATAATAAATGTATAAATCCAATGAGTTTCTTTATATTTGGTTTATTTTAAAAATGTTCCATCTAAAAAATCTTTCAAATGTTTTTTATTGACATTTAAACATTGTTTTATTGGACGACATGTTTTTACACTCACCCTCATCCATCCGAACAAATCCAAGTTTTCTGTTGAGCGACTAAAAGATTAGTATAAAATTAATAACCAACAATTTTAACAATGAATTATTGGTTAAAGTTCAGATTCAAATAAAAACTTTTCTCTGGAAATATCTGCTCGTGTTTTATGAGCGTGAACTGAAGGTGAAACTTGGCAACGTGCACGTGTTCGTGTTGATGAGAAAAGAATCAAAGATGGAGACGATCGTCACAAACCTGGAAAAATCTACTTTAGATGAAAGACAAAAAAAATCACTTCAAACTTTTATTCTCCCGGACATTTAACTGCAGGTCAGTTTGAAGAAGGCAGACAGAGCTGATGGAGCCTCGTTAACTTCAGCACGTCGTTAGTCTCGCTCGTGTCACGAGGAGAGAAGAAGCAGCGGTGAACGCTCTCAACCAATCACATCGCTGGTCTGCAGCCAATCACAGTGAAAACGACTCGTTAAAAACCAGGAAACTTTTAAAACATGAAGAAGTCTGAACAGTTTAGTGGATTCGTTACAGCCGCCGCTCCTCTGGTTCAGGAAGCAGAGGATCATGGGTAATGTCCAGCGTTCAGTTGTGTTTCAGTTCACTGAGTGCGGCTGCAGAGGGCGCTGTTGCTCAGTGTTGATTTGATTCCAGATGTAAATCAGCCTCTGTTTGATTTGTGCTGTAACACGCGTTCAACAGAAACGTCTTCCGTTGACGAACTGTCGCTGCGTCGTGTCGCTCGGCCGAAGTTCAGCGAAACTCAACTTTAAATGTTGGCACCAGCCAATCAAATGAATGTGAAAGAGGAGGCGGAGTCAGCTCGTGAACCTGGCGTGTGTTCTATCACATTTTATTTCCTGCGTTCTTCTCTTTAGCATCGTTAGCTAACATGCCACATTAGGAAACTGTGATCGTTGTCATGACGATGGCTGCAGCACTAAGAGTCGGGTTTGCACCAACAAGCGTAAACAACAACTTTAAGTTATTTCATTGAGTCAATTTAAAAATGAATTAAAAGTTATTAAAATGTCTCATTTGTCAAGTCGACGTGGAAACGAGACGCAGCCTCTCGAAGAGATCGGATCTAAAACGTGTTTATAAGAATGAATGACAACATGTGACATCAGTTAGAAACTTTCTGTGAACATGTGATCAGACGAGCGCTCGTATCCGCTCAGTCCAGGTTGTGACCCGACCACTCCCCCTCACGACGTCTGTTGGACTCGTTGGTCCAGCGGGGGGTGTAACGGGGGAGGGGGGGAGGCGGCAGCGCTTGTCTCCACTGCGGCTCAGGTTGGTGGGGTCGGAACCAACTGTCCTCTGGGCGGGGGGGTCCCCTCCACTGACGGCTGGGAGGAGGGGGTGTCCATCCATATGGGTGGGGCGGGGCTCGCATCTGTGGGTGATAAGGGGGTGGAGGGTGGAACAGCGGGGGGTGGAACCCTGGATTGGACTGCAGGGCGTCGTGGGGAGGGCGATGATGTGGGCGGTGGCTTAATCCTCTGGGAGCAAAAGATCTGCAGGAGAGAGAGAGAGAGAGAGAGAGAGAGAG